TGAGAGTTCAGGAGATTTATGGTATCATCCTGTTCGGATGTAGGGGGGGTATGCATCATTAGAATCCTAGGCCATCAACCTGAATGATTGTCCCAAAAAGCATTCCAAGTCTGAAGGGCCCTTAACCCCAAAGCCCTAAATCCAACATCCCTTCATAGCTTGCATATAACCCAATAAAACGCCCTACTCCAATTCCGGACGGGTTCGTGTCCTGTTTAGTGTAGCCGTTGGCCTTTTCCTGTGGTTTCCTGTAGAGGTTTTCCAGGATCAAAGTTTTTGATTTAAAGTAAGCGTGCCTGGATGTTTACGGTCGGTTCTCGGTACTGTTGTGGGATATACCCCCCCCAACTCATAATAGTAATTCCTAATATAGAAACCCTAAATTCTAATTTTTAGGCCCCATTTTTACTCTTTGGGGGTCTTAACCCCCCCCCCCCCCCCGGCCCCGCCGGAAACGAGGGCCACACCCCCAGGCTCCGACGGCAGCTCCTCGTGCGGAGTCGCCGGGCGCCGGCCAAGGAGGAGAGACTGCGCAGATGGGTTTAGGGGTTAAGGGTTTTAGGGTTCACTCAGGGGTACTTAGAAATAGTTGTTAATTTTTGGTAAGTATAATCACTAAGAAACAGCTAAAATTTCAATTTTTTTGCTAGGATTCTAAGTTGAGTATAGTTCAGGGGCTGAGGACCGAGAAGTTGCCTTTTGGTTCTAGGGCTTTAGGGTTTTAGGGTTCAGGGGCTTAGGACCGAGAAGTTGCCTTTTGGTTCTAGGGCTTTAGGGTTTTAGGGTTCAGGGGCTTAGGACCGAGAAGTTGCCTTTTGGTTCAGGGTTTTAGGGTTCAGGGGCTTAGGACCGAGAAGTTGCCTTTTGGTTCTAGGGCTTTAGGGGTTTAGGGTGTAGGGGTTTAGGGTGTCGAGAAGTTGCATGTTGGTTCTGGGGTTTCAGTGGTTTAGGGTTTAGAGAGGTGTTTTTGTTTTGGGGGGTTTCGGGCTTTATATGTTTCTATTTGGCGGGCTTCGTTTCGAAGGCTTGCATACTCAGCCTTTTTTATTTACATGTTTGTTATGGGAGATATAGGGCTTCATTTTCGTATCCTTATAGGGTGCCATAGTATGTAGCAGACTTTACCGTTTTTTTGTTACAGTGAAGTTATTAGTCTAACTTTCTGCCTTGGGGACCAAATCACCTTCATAAGTAGTGGCCCTATACCCTTATACTATGAATCCCTATAAGGTATATGAACCTTAAAACCTTTTGAAGTTCATTTCGTCCTTAAGGTGGGCTTGACATATGGAGGCTTCTCGGCTCTCAACCCTAAACCATAATAATCTAGTCCGACAGTCTCAGTCAGCGCGCAACCCAACTGCACCCTCATCCTCAGAAACTATCAAGCTTGACATGCATCAAACTTGAGACTCTAAACTCTACTTGGAGCAGCACAGTTCTGTCTAAGCGCATAGGTCCTTGATTTGATGTTTTCCATCGATTACGTTTAACGGGGTCGAGATGCAGAGGTTTCGAGTTTGACAGAGCTATAAAACTTGTATTACTGCCCGAACTATGGCTTCCTATGTCGTTTTTTTTGACATTTTTGTAAGGTTGGCTGCAATCTTTCCGGCTGGGCTCGTAGCATGGCGACTACCTCCAACACTGTGGAAGGTGCCGAAGAGGGTGATGCCGGCAAACCGGCCAAGGAGGTGCATGCTTGCGCCACTGACTGTTCGGGGATGCCTGGCCCCCACTCAGTAATAGTTGAGTAATATTTATAATATAGATATATCATGACCTTAATAGTAGCCCTATGATAGACTCTTACTGTATAGGGCCGTACCCAACCTGCAGGGCTTGAAGTTGAGAGTCTCGGGCTTAAGTGTAGGGCGTAGGGTTAATTAGTCAGTTTGCCCTTGAAGGATCGGAGGACTCGGTAGGTGGGTGTCTCTAGTTGGCGCCATGAGTTGCTACAAGTTCTGCAATTACGATCATCTTACATAGATAGAACTCTGAGCTGCGCCGATCCAGTAAGTAGGGTTCATTGTTTCGATTTGCCTCAGAACAGCGTATTGCCTCTCTACAGATGACTTGTGATACTGTGGTTCCAGCCAGCAGCTGTCTCTCGGTGTTACCATCTCGAAGATATTTTTCTGAGGGTTCTTGAAAGGATTCAAAATACGTGCTCTGTATGGCTGTACAGGGATTCGAGAGTTTAGGGCCGTAGAGTGTCCCCCCAAAATGATCTGAGCAACTGAGCCTGAAACACCGGCGATTTTAGGAATCTTAGGGTTTAGGTAGTTTGCTGCGGTTCTTGGGCGATGTCAGGTCCAAGACCAAGAAATCCTGTTTAGGGTTGGGGGTGGGGATTAGGGATGTAGGCTTTAGCTCGCATGTGTTGAGGATAGGGGTTCGAGGGTTTTGTGTTGTTTCAGGTCTCAGGCTCAGGGTAGGGCGATATAGTGTAGGAAGTGTAGAAATCTGCTCCAATGCTAACAAACCCTACCCCTGACCCTTAGACCCCAAGGAATGACCCGGTAAACCTAGCGCCATCATTAAACCCCACACGACACCTTAGCATTAAACCGTATGCAAGAAACTTAGAGGCACTGAAACCCTCCAAAGGCTAAAGCCACTGTAAACAACAAATAACCATACCGTTAATGTTCAGTAATGCTAATAATAAAAGATACCACAACGACAGTGATAGCAGCATTGTCAGGATACTGCTGCTGCCCAATTATAACCCTAAGCCCTAAGCCCTGTAAACCCCGGACCCTATCTTTCCTCTTGCTTGCCGGCCCCTAAAACCCTAAATCAGGCGGAAGGACCACCGAAGGAAGCTCCGACCTCGCCCACCAAAGCAATGACGACTCGCAAGGCCTCCGAAGCTTTAGTAGCAGTAGTCGTAGTAGTAGTAGTAGTAGTAATAATAAGAATAATAGTAGTAATAGTAGTAGTAGTAGTAGTAGTAGTAGTAATAATAATAATAGTAGTAGTAGTAGTAGTGGTGCAGGGGCTCGTTGCTCTACGTTTGTATACAAGGTTTGAAGGGGCTTCAAGGGCTTCAGTGGTTTAGGTTTTTCGGATGGTAAGGATTTCGGAAGTTAGGAGTCGAGGGTGATGCCAAGTCCCCTGGGCGTGGGCTTCAGGGTATGTTCGAATCGCTGGTCCGTCCGGTTCGGCATTCAAGGCACAAGACGGCGGCCTGGATAATGAGCACTAGTACGATTTATCTCAGGGGTTCCGAAGATTCGTGTAATAATCTGTCCGCAAGCATTGGTTCTTAAGGTCCCTACATGAGCGAACGTTTCAATACTTTTCAATGTGTTCTTCGTGCTTCTGATTTCCGAAACCCTGTCTCCTTTGTGCTTGCGTCGGTCACCGGAGCATCCGCGTAGGTGTGTACTGGTATGGAAATGGGCCATGTTTCGACCCCATGCAGATGCTTTAGCCTTCGCTAGCCAGGCAAGTTTATCAAGCCCTGCAGCATTACTTAGAGGATCATGGGGCTTAGTAAGTAGGGTTGTAGGTACGGGAAGAAAGGTTATTAGTAGATATAGCTATAGTTACCTTACTTATACCTCACATACTAAGTGCCACAAGCCCTATACCCTTATAGTACTCCTAGAGATCCTGTAAAGGGATCCCTTCAAGGGCACTTACTAAGTCCCATGATCCTCTAAGAAGACGTGGCACGGCTTCCCACCTGTGCTTTTGAGATGTCGAAGTTTCCACGACTCTGTGCAGCTTCGGATCTCCATAAAGTACCATCGTAAGGAAACCGTATTCTTTACTATAGATCCCTATTATGGTAGCTTAAATTAGGTTCCTTCAACAAGAGCCCAGTTTTCTATTCAACAGAATGCCGTCGAGTCGTCGCTGAGGTAGCTGCCGAATCGCAAACTCGAGTCTTTGTGTCTGTGAGGTTGTTCAGGCTCTTTGCTGAAGTTTTGGGTGCCGTTTCACGTGTTGTCGGTTAAAGCTTTGTGCGTGTTGGGGGTGTGGGCGGGGGAGAGGAAGGGCGCGCTTATCGACATTTCTTGCGACTGGCAGTGTTGGACGCGGCTTGGATAGGTTGTTGTTGCTGTGATTCGCGGAATAAAGCCCGACAGCCAGGTTGAATCGATTCTGAAATTCGGACTTAGTGCATAAACTGCCGGAGTGTGAGGCTGCGGCGGTGGTGGTGATTGATGGTCATGACGATGTTGACGTTGATGTTGTTGATGTTGATGCCGTTGTAGTGGTCGCGGATTGTTGTGGTGGTGCTGGTGCTGGTGCTGGTGCTGGTGCTGGTGCTGGTGCTGGTGCTGGTGCTGGTGCTGGTGCTGGTGCTGCTGCTGCTGCTGCTGCTGCTGGTGCTGCTGGTGGTGTCGTTGTGGTTGTCGTTGTTTGTGGACGCAAGCTGAATCGTGAGGGGAGTTGAATCTGCACCTTCGATGTGTCTATGCTGGCAAGGCCAGGGCCAAGAGCAGGACACGGAAGAAAGAGCCTCCACCTGACCCAGGCGGATTGGAGGGTGCAGGTTTATGTTTCGGTTCTCTGCCGGCGCCGCCCCTCTCCGATATGGTTAGTCGTCTATGTCCCATCAGTGCACCCTCGAAACGCGAAACACTAAACCCTGAAGTCCAAAACGAGCACTGCGGATTCAGTCTTCAGCCAGGATCTCTCACGAAGGCATCCGAGTGTAACCTGAGGAATCGAGACACAAGATTTGTTAACGTTTGGTTACCAACTAATTAGGCCGAGAATGTGTTTTTGGCGTAAAGTTGCTGCAACAGGATCTCTTCAAGGCCTGCGCAGATGTGATATGCGAAACCTCAAAGCCCTAAAAGCCTAAAGCCTGTGCCAACAGTAAAGCCCCAAAGGCAACGGAGCTGGAAACATGGACCCCTCCCAAAACCTGAAACTCAATCCCCAAATCTAAAGTCCCTTCCAAAAGCAAATCTGAATCCCAGCCTCGCTGCTCCAACGCTTGCAGGCCCAAAGTGCCAGCTTTTCTTCCTCCCGCTGGCATGCAGCCCAGCCGGCCTCAAATCCCTGCAAGGGGTTTAGGGAGGCAGGGTTTGGCATTCGGGATTGATGCCCTAGGACAAGCGTCTTGATGTAAACCTGCGACCCCGCGAGTTCTATACGGTTCGATATGGGTGCCGCGATGGGGCTTAAACGGTATTTTAGCATGTTGCATTATTTTAGTTTGAGGTTTGGATCTAGGATTGGTTACAAGTTATATTTTGCTCTGAGGTTTACGAGTTTTCGAGTGTAGAGTTCAGGCAGTTAGAGAAAAGAGTGTGTGATTTAGTGCCTCGTTATTCCATGGTGTGTCAAGACTGTCAAGATACACCACATTTAATCAAACAGAACAGATTCGCAGACTGCTATCGGGAGAGCCCTGTGATTGTGCTTAGTATGCCTTGAATACAGCGCCAGGAAAGACCATGCTATCAGGGTTCATCAGGGTTTACAGTAAGGGGTTGTAGAGGAGCGGTTCTGCTTCGTCCTGCGTTCTTATGTGACAGTTCAGCCGCCTACAAGAGGCTCTCTCCAACCTACTCACTGCCGTGATATGGCTAATGATATGAATCCTGCATTACCTTAATGACCCTAGACTGGGATGTATGGTATATTCCTTATTATGGATAGCATCAACCTTATGGCTTGGTTGCGAAACGGGGTGGCTTCTGTTCACCCATCCTAACTTAGATGTCCCAGCCCTCCCAGGACACTCAGCAACATTGGAAACTGGGTCTCGGCGACAAGAAAGATTCGCCATTCCGGCGAGCTCTTGCTGGTAGTAGTGGCTGTGCCGCTACAGTGTGGGAGTTCGGGTTTAATGTGGGTTGGGATCAGTTTGTTTTCTCGTGTTTGGAGGGTGTCATCTGTCGCAGGAAGCCTAAGCGAGCGATCGGTTAGGTGCCCAGAGACTCCAATACCCCTTAATTAAGGAATGTACCTTAAATTATAGTAGGATCCTTAATATAATTTAAGGAATATTCCTTAATTAAGGGGTATTGGAGTCTCTGGGTGCCAGAGTTTTGCCTGCCTGCCGTCGATGTCGGCTCAGTCATGCGCCGTGTCATATGCCAAGCAGAGCCCCAGTATGCTGCGAGAATGCAACCAGGTGGGCATTGCGAACATGCGCTGAGCCTGCGGTACGATCAGGTTCAGTATGGTTAAACCCCACAAAACGACGAGGTTGTCGCATATTTGGCATAGATTCCTCCGATTTATGTCGTGAGTACAACTCCTTGCTACTAATCGCCCTACCGGAACTAAGAGTCAACAAATTCTCCTAGCAAGGGTTTGGGTTCTTTAGGACCAATTCCTACCCTAGTAGTAGAGTAGGCAACCTTTAATTTTTTGGGTAGTATAATCCCTATATAACCAAAAAGGTTAACCTTTAGTTCCCCATGATACCCGACAAGTAGGCTGCTGCCCTTAACCCCTTACCATACACCCTTTGCCTCGCCTCGTTGCTCACCCGTTCAAGGCGATCGTGGATCGAGCCGAGGAAGAGGAGCAAGGGGAAAGCAGAGCTTCGTGTTCAGGGTCTGACGGAAGAGGGGCCTTTAATGTTAGACTTGAATAGGTATTAGAGTATGATTAGGAACCCGGGAATATCATGATTAGTTGTTAGTAAGGCCCCTTTTCCAGGGACTTCTAGGGTAGCTGAAGGTTTTGTCACGTGGGTGTTACTTTAGATTATGATCCCTGTGGCATCCCCTGAAGAGTACATCACTGTGGTAACAAGGACCACCAATGCGTTTACAGAATAAGCCACGTGCTTCGTGGGATCAGGGTTGTGTGGTTTAGGACTTTCTGTTTGAGATTCCGTTATTTTTGAGTTGCCCTTGCCCACGCTGCCAGAACACTCCCTACCTAGCGCATGCCCGTTGTTTGCCATCTATGTATTTCGGGTCTAGGTTGAAGTCATTGCAGGGTCGCATGTACAGGGAGTAATACGATGACTAAAAGTCGAGATATTTGACTTCTTGTAGTATTTTAGGCTCACACCACTCTCTCCGTGCAGGAGGTGGGCAGCGACGGAGACGGGCAATGGTCCGAAGATAGCGATGTCCCGGAGGATGAACTGAAAGACCTTGTGACCGAGCTGACGGCTGTCACCTCCAGAATGGCCGCACAAGCACAGTATTTCAAGGACTGAAAGGTAGCACTGTGAGCGTGTAGGGTTTGTGGTGTACGACGTGTTTATTAACCTTGCCTGGAATTGACAGTTTTGAGCTTTTGTGGCTTGTGGATGCACAAATTTAAAAGGACGAGTGCCCGGCGCCGGAAAGGCAGGATGGTAAGAAGCCTGCGACAAGCGTTCTAGTCAAGACGTCCAGGGCACAACCAGAGGTGCTGCACGTCGTGCTGGTTATTGATGCAGACTTGAGCATGGGATCAGAGGACATTGAAGTTATGCAGTCAAAGAAAGGCTCTCAGACGAAATTCCCGGCAAACATCCGCCGCATCGACGCCGTTTTCAACTCCTGCCGTGCCTTTCTTGAGACGCATCAAGATGCAAGCGGTTTGGGGACGGATCTTTTTAGCTTGGTGGTCTTCAACAGCAGGGCAGATGTAGTTTTCGAGAGACAGGCGAAGAAGTATGCTGATGGTCAGTTGAAGAAACTCGCCGGCAAGCTCTCGCCGAAGCATCAAACCAAATTTCAATCAGCCTTTCGAACCGTGGAAAAGCTCATTGGCCTGCAGCAAGTTGCCGAAGATGTGCGTGTGATCTTGTTGTCCGACGGCAAGCCTTACGAAAAGTACACCGTCCGCCAGTTGTTTGAGAAGCACTTGCTCAACACAGCTTCTGTTCCTTAGTAGCTGAGTGGATGCACTTTACACTTTTTGGATAATATTGCCCACTAAAAAACTAAAAGTGTACACTTTCTGGGGGCTTACGAACTCGGGAAACTAAGGTTCAGATGGCGCGAAGCTTTGAGGTTCATGCTGTGGGTTTCGGCCCAGAGCCGGAGCACTGGGCCAACTTGCGCCACCTTGCGGAGACTAGGATGCCCAGTAGTACCCTTATTCCCTTTTTGTAGTCCTAGGTTCCTTATAAAGTTACCCAACACCAAAAAGGGAGGCCTTTTTTATTCTTAGGTTACTGGGTATCCTAGGAGATGACGCGAGGAACCTTCCAGCAGTCATCCTTGGATCATCTAGCGCTGCGAGAGGCCTTCACATCTATAGCTGCAACCATCACCGTGACATCGGTCGCAGGCTGGAAGCCTATAAATTCTTCAAAAGGCTTATCGGTCTTGGTGTTTTCATCGAAACCCTGCCTCTAGCGGCTAGTACTCTAGCGCGCAAATTTGTACGGTAGGTTAGGCAAAGACCCAAAGCTCGTCGAGACGCGTACCGTGCCCTGATATCCTGGGACAGTATAATATATACATTGGCTTCACGCGCATTGTTAACCGTGACTGCAAGGCTACCCTAACGCTAGGGCTCCAGCGCCAAAGCACACCCTAAACCCTATAAGCCCCAACCCTCAGCCCAAAACCCTACACGTAAGCCCTAAACCCTACCCAGAGGCCCCATAGTAGTTCCTTTTTGGGATAACCTCATAACATTCTAAATATGAACCCCAAAAAGGAACTACGTTGGGGCCTTAGGGTAAGCTGTTCTGTTGACTAGGCGGCTCTGGCACCTCGTCGGAAGGAACATCGGTGGCAGCTCCCTTGAAGAGTGCCACGTCGGAGATTCCTTTCGATCCCCTTCTGGATGCCGGAAAGACCTGCGCACGGCGGTGCAGTTTGATCAAGGTTACCTTACAGAAAGCGAGTCGTTTTGCTGCGCCACGAGATGCTGAAAGGGAGCTTTGTGCCAACTGTGATGTGACGGTCGACACGAAGGCTTTTGGTTTTGGAGGTATGCGGGTTGTGTACCGGATGGTCGATTCATCGAAGATGAACGAAAAAGAGAAGATGGTCGCCAAGCGCCTAATCAAAGAGCCACATGCCCGTAAGGAGGACATGCTGCCTTTTTGCCGTTGCACCAGTTTGGCAATGCAGATGCGCACAAGCTTCACTGATGTCATCTACAAAAAATGGATTGCTGTTCCATACGATATTTGGTTTGTTCCGTGTTATTTGTATCAATACTCTTGCCGAAGTGGTGAGCCGGCATTCTTCCTTGGCGAGCACCAACTCGAGGGCAAGTTCACGAAGTTCAATAGCAACAACGGGTATGTGAACAGTGATGCAGAAAATGAAGATTGCAGTGAGCTACTCCAAGCATTCAGCCATTATACATTCGTCAGGAGCAAAGGGAGCGTCATGATCGTCGATCTCCAGGGTGTAATTGATGGAGGCTACATTCTGTTGACGGACCCACAGGTACACACACGCCATAAGAAAGTCGACTATGGGAGAGGCGATTTGGGGTTCGAAGGTATGAAGAGGTTCTTCGAGAGCCACTACTGCGGCAAGACATGCCATGCGCTCAAGTTACCAGGTGAGCAGCATGATCTTTTAAAAAGCATGGAGCTGGAGAAGGACCGCCGGTGCCAAATTTGCATGAATGCGCCTTCCAAGACAGTGCCTTGGCCGGGCAAGACGGACTTGGTTGTGCAAGGTTTCGTTTGTTTCCAGAAGCTAATAATGTAATGTGCACATATCTGAGTATGTGTGTTTATGTGTGTACCAGTACGGTGACAAATCCCAAAATATATGCACATATATACAATGTTCCTAGGGATATAGATATGCAGACACGCACCCGCATGGACCCTAGGGAAGAAGACAGATGAGGTGTTGGAGCCCTGCGGACATTCGGCAGTTTGCAGGGCATGTGTCCTCAAACTTTTCGAATCCCCGCAGCCCTCCTGCCCGATCTGCCGGCAAGCTGTCACCAAATACCACACTGGTGTATACAGCAACTCGGCTCAAAACCTGTAGCCGAGAGCTTTATCACAGACCAGGGCCTACTCAAGCCTTAAAACTCAAGCCGAAATCGAAAGGCCCAGAAACCCAGAAGCCGACGGCGGCAGGATTCAGATGTTCACTGATCCTGGTTTAGAGTTTCGACGGCTTCGACTTTGACAGGTGTAGCAAAGAGAAGACCTTCCAAGCCATACGGTGGATTTTGCAAAGAGTTTCCGTTGAAGACGCCAGGAAAATTTAACTTAACTCAATGAGGTATGAGGTAAAAAGGATATTCCTGTGGCTTGCCTGTATCAAAAGCTTTCTGAGCGGAAAGGAAGCCTGGGAGTAGGACTCTTATCCCTACGCCCTACGGTTGATGATATAAATCCCACATGACCCTATTGACCCTAGACTATGGGGATTCTGGTATATTCCTTGTTCTGGGTAATGCAGGATTCGTATCATCAACCGTACTACTGTAGGTTAGTGAGTCGTCTCGTAAAGCCACATGTTTCGCCTACCTGCTCACAGGAGTCGAGTCAAATGTTCCCTGCTTGAAGGCTCACGGGATATATTAATCAGGCTTAAAGTTCGGCGAGAATTACCTGCACCCCAAACCTCATCTAATTGGCAGGTTCTGACCCCCATTTCAGGCACAATCCATGAAATACTTCGTAGCTGAAGCCCTAAACGTTGCTGGATCCAGAGTACTGTGCCTCTCGCGGAGACGGCTAGCAGAAAGCTTACCTATATATGCTGCGAGCTAGTGCTCAAGCACGCATGCCGATCCCAGGCCTGCAAACCCTAGGCCAGCTTTGTCATAGTTGGGAAACATTTTACATGTTTATGGGTACTTCAACCCCATAAGGAATAAAAATGTACATTTTTGAATCCTATCCCAACAATGAACTAGTAAGCCTGAGCCCTTAAATAGCCCAGACATGCGGTTTCCGACTGGAATGCTCGGGGTTTAGGGCCTTTGGGGTTGAGGGTTTAGGGCTTAGGATTTAGGGCCTTTGGGGTTTTGGGTTTAGGGTTTTGGGTTTAGGGTTTAGGGTTTAGGGTTTTTAGGGCTTAGGATTTATAGTTTAGGGTTGAAGGTTGCGGACACCTTGTGTAGAAGAGTGTGGTTCTCAAACAGGGACCATAAGCCCTAAACCACCGCAAACCCTTAAACCGTAACTTTAAACGAACCCTATCATTTTCTAAAGCCTTACCGCTGCCTGTGCCGAAACAGCGGGCCAGATGCTGAGGCACTACATTTGTGCCGCCAGTCAGGCGTGGCTGATGGAACGTCGAACGTGGCTTGTGCTGCTATAGATTAGATTTCTTGCATTGTTTACTGCATGTTTGGGATTCCCGGCGGTACCATGCCTTGCATGCCCAACAGGAAACATCAGATGTGCCAGCACCCTGATCGTCGTCTCAACATCAGCATAAACAGCTTCATCGTAGCCTCGGGCCATCATGCACGGCAGCAGAATCCTTGTTTAGTCATCCTCGTCCCCGGTGCATCCGCTCACATACATCTTCAGCGACGACAGCAGCCGCAGCATCAACAACCTGAGCTGCAGCTTTCTTGTTCACCACCATTATCACAGTCATCATCGCCATTACCACTTACATAATCCTCATCTACATCAGCATGACTACCAAGACTACGTTCACCAGCACCATCTTTACCAGCTGATCATCGCAATCATCGTCAACAACATCATCATCAGCATCGCCACTAACATCATCGGGCGGCACACCCGCGCCAATTTCTTGCTGTCTCCGACATTCACACCGGCGTGTCATGCCTGCTATGGTGCAGCTGGCCAAGGCTACCCAGCATTTGTTCTACATGTCGAAATGGGGACCATTCCCGAGAATGTCTTCCTTCATGCCATGGATGAGCTCGAGTCGCGACCCATGAAATTGGTCATGGATGCCATCTGCGTATTCCATGGCCTTTTCATTAGGTTCGAGTTCCTTGGTGGTGCGTTTTGCGGGTCGAAGCCCTGACGTCGCAAACGGTCTCACAGCCCACGGACGCTTTAACTTCTTTTTCATTGTATAAAGTTCGACGGATGCGAAGCTCTGAGAACCACTGGCGCAGACATATAAATTGCAGAATCGAGTTGGACTTTGCTCTGACGGCTTGAAAGGTGCTTGCGGCTTCTGTTGCAGTGCTCACCAGTGCGCTAGCCTAAGGCCCCAAAGTAGTTCCTTTTGGGGGTTCGTATTCAGAATCTTGTGACATAATCCCGCAAAGGAACTGCTATGGGGCCTTTGGGTAGCGCCACCCCTAAATCCAAACCGGAGCCTTAATCTGGAAGCCCTCTGCTCTTGTCCCAAAGCTTCGTCCTAAACCTTATGCCAGGTCTCCGTTGGGCCGATTTTCCTGTTTTTTGTGGGCATATAGGTTCCTCCCTAAGTGATTGGGGATGCTGTTATATCACCTCGTGGCCAGGATGGCGCATCGAAGGAGTGAGGCCTGCTGGAGCTACTTTTGGGTTTGGGAAAATCGCAGAAGGGTTTAGAGTTTGGGGAGTTTACGGTTTAGGGGTATAGTCCGTGCATAACTATGCTATCTATGATGGACAGCAATACTCAGCAAAAACTGGGGATTAAATCTCTAAATACAGGCTCCTGTAGTCTTGAAGATAGGCTTGTTGCTGTGCAGTGCTCGGTTCCCGGGGCTCGTGACCTTACGGCTTTTGGAAGGGCAAGGGTTAAAGAGTTCGGGGCTTTAGGGCTGTGAAGTTTGACTGTTGAGCCACTTGCGCTTCAGGGCCTGTCGGGTTTAAGGGTTTTGGGGTCTTTGGCTTCAGGGTTTTGGGGTGTTTAGGTTTAGGGTTTTAGGTTTAAGGTTGACGGTTTCTCGGTTTCTCGGAAGAGTTTGTTTTGCATGTTAGGGACCTGGGCATGCGGGTTCCAGGCTCACGTCGAGACTGGCAGGGCTGCTGCAGTGCCATATTTAGGGTTCGGGGGCCTTCGTGCTATTCCCTACCTCGGGATCCAAAAGCCTACCGGTTTAAGGGCTCTACCCTTTAATCAAGAGGTCATAGCCCACTATTTTGTAGGGTTTAGGGTCACAGGTAAGCCCTAAACCTAGAATACTGTTGAAGGAGCCCAAGCCAGACACCGTTCGCCGTACACCCTAAACCCTTCACATCTTCCCTAAACCTATAAACGAACCCTGGAGCTCCAAGTAGCCCAAAGTAGGAAGCATGTATAGACTTTAGACCCCGAAGTGGGTACTATTTGCATACTTGGAGCCCACGCGGAACCCAAGAAGGAGTCCAAAACCCTACACCCTAAGCCCCTAAACCCTGTACTTGGAGCCCTGGGGTTTTTTCAGGATCCTAAACCCAGGAAGGAGTCCAAAAAAGAGACCCTCGCAAAGGCCTCCATGTCCCAGCGTCTCATGAGCTCGGCGAGCCAGAATCACAGATGGTGCAGTAGTGCCACTCTGTTTCAGGGCTTGGGATTTGGGGGGATTGGGGTCTAGGGATTTAGGATGTCTTAGGGTTCAGGGATTAGTGTTTGGGGCTTAGGGTAGATTTTGGTTATTGCCTGTTTCTGTTGTAGAATAGAGCTTCGGCTTACAGGGTTTAGGGTGGATCTTAATATTGTCTCAGTTGCGCCATCTGTCTTCTTGAACGGCTGAGGGCTTAGGGTTTAGATGCCACTCCCTTTTGTGAGGCTCTCTTTCAAGACTGATCAACCGAAAAGGAGGAATCCTTTTTCAAGGGCTGCTCGGGGGTGTAAGAGGCTTTAGGGGTTAAGGTCACGGTAAAGGGCTAGCCGCGTTAGTCAGCATGTGTGTGGTGTATGTGTGTTTGTTGGCCTCGTGCATCTGTGAGCGAGCGAGCGAGAGAGAGCGAGAGAGAGAGAGAGAGAGAGAGAGAGAGAGAGAGAGAGAGAGAAAGAGAGAGAGAGGGAGGGAGTGCTTTCTTCTAGCTTTAGTTTGTCAAGTCTTTTCAGTCTTAGATTCGTTCTTCCGATTTAGTTTTGGATGTGCACCTGAATGCTCAGGCAGTTTGTAGGCATATTTTTTAGCGGCATGGAAGCATATCAACAGACCAAGGTGCATGCACAAGCACACACACACACACACACGCACTTACTTACAAGCTTACTTACTTACTTACTTACTTACTTACTTATTTGCTTATTTACTTACTTACTTATTTGCGCCTACTTTCGTTCTCACAACTTGCTAAAACCTCATACATGAATTTAAAGTGTCTCCCTCATGCCCTTTGTGTGCTTCTCTCGATGCATAGCTTCAATGATTCAAGCATCTGTTGGTTGGTTGTGTGCATGTGCAAGTGTGTACTCACATTCGTCTTCGTGTGCAGACCTTTACAAACACTCCAGGAGCTAAGCCCGAAACTCGTTTCATATGAAGCTTCTCACTCTGAGACTCACAACAGTCATACTGACAAAGCCCCGAGCCCCAAGTTCAGAAGAGCCTTAAAACAAACCATCGACTCCCTAAGCCCTAAACCCCTAAATTCCTAAACCCTAAACCCCTAAACCCCTAAACCCCTCAACCCCTAAACCCCTCAACCCCTGAACCTCCAAACCTTAAACCCCTAAACCCTAAACCTGAAACCCCCCACTGCACTTCAGGCGAAGCTTCGCAAGGATCAAACCACACGGCCGAACCGACGCAGGATCTTCGGGGTTCAGGGTTTAGGGTTTAGGGGTTTACTACTATTTGCTTAAGAACCCCCAAAAAATAAAAAATATATTCCTTATAGGGATAATATAGGGATTATATTTTTTTATTTTTTGGGGGTTCTTAAGCAAATAGTAGTTTAGGGTTTAGGGGTTTAGGGTTTAGAGTTTAGGGTTTAGGGCCTTAGGGGTTTAGGGTTTAGACGGTTTCTTTGTCATAGTTGCGTAGCATTAAACATTTTTATGGGTACTTAAACCCAATATGTAAGGAATAATTTTGTTAATTCCTATCCCAACCATGAACTAGGTTTAGAGTTTAGGGTCTTAGGGGTTTAGGGTTGATGGTTGGGAAGCAAAGCTCTAGAAGAGCGATAAGAATGAATGCCTGTCATCCACAACGCATTTTCGCTGGTTTTCTTGATGTTTGACGTTTGCTAGTTAATCGTTGTTTGCGTGTTGAGGCTGTGGTCTTTTGGGCTGCCGTGTTCAGGTTGTAAGTGTACGCTTATATGCGTGTCGGATGATTTTCGTATCGGGATTCTGACAAGTCTCATGCGGGAGTTTACAGCTGTTTCTAGGACAGGTTGGCTGTAGGCTTTCGAGAGGGTTTATGGTTTAGGGTTTCCGGTTTAGGGTTTAGGTTTGGGGAATGACTTGAATTAAATATAGCTCCACAGCTCCACAGCAGTATTGTACCCATTACCCATTTGGTATATGCCTTGCTCGTAAACGGTCACCATGTGAGCGTTCTTCCGCCCAAAGAGATACAGTATGGATGCAAAACCCTTACGGTTGTTAAGGTTCGAGGCGCTTGTGAATGCAGAGTTGCATCCATAGGCATGCACTTTACAAAGCATCGGTGCTTTGTAGTGGTCCCTTCAGAGCTGTCGATCCTCCCCTGGCGGTACCGGTGGATGCCATACCTAAACCCCTAAACCCCTAAACCCTAAACCCTAAAACCCTAAACCCCCAAACCCTAAACCCTAAAACCCTAAACCCCTAAACCCTAAAACCATGATATGCTCAGCGGCTGCAGTCGGCGTTGAAGCCGCCGAACCTGAAATCCTCTGGGCCTGGGAGCTTTCAGTCTCAAGCTTGAAGCCGCAAACCAATGAAGGAAATCTCTACCTTCAACCCTGAAAGGTAAAATCTGCATACAAATTTTCGAAATTCAGCAGACTCAGCACCGAAAACCCCTAAACCCTAAACCATAAACTCTACCTTAGCCCCACGTAACCTACCTTTTAAGAACTTATATAAAGAAATCATATTAGGGAACCCTAAAAAGGTAGGTTCCTTAGGGTCCAGGTAAACTCTGATCCTCAGCTTCTGCCCCAGAAGATCTGCAGGACTGGGATGGCATGGGCTTCAGCAAGTGGGAGCCGCGCGCCCAAGCTTTTGGGGTTTCGGTTTCGGGGATTTACTATAGGGGGCCTTAGTAATTACCTGTACTGTTTTGGGGGGGGTTCCTTTCAAAGGGTCTGTAATGGTTACTATAAGGGATCTACAAGGGTTCGGTGAAAAAGGATCCTTAGAGATTTTGTTTGGAAAGTGGGCCAGGTGATGTGGCTTGAGCGTTTAAAAAGACGGGTTCATGTGAAGGAATTTAATTGAAGC